CGGTATTTGTGGTGGACAAAGTGGCGCTGGGGCAGGTTTTCTCCGAGTACTTCGGTATCCCCTGCCCATCTTCATTCCACCAATTGCTCCACAGTCACCCTCACCTATCATCTGGGGCTGGTACGTTAGGCCAGAAGTGGCCGCAGTACAAGGGACTTACTCCCACCCCACTAGCAATAAAAAATAATAATCACAGAACAACAGAGGCACAGAATAAACACATACGCACACCAAACATCCATGCCCTGAGTCGGATCCGAACCCACGATCCCGGCTTCCGAGTGAGCGAGGACAGTTCATTCCTTAGACCGCTCGGCTACCGTGACCGGCGGACGTGCTAATAGCGTTGCTCTTGTAGTAAGCCTAACTGCATGGACAAGGAATTTCCATCATGTTCGCTTGTGGTGAAGTCTGGTAGCGTTTAAGACAATTGGCAGTATGGAGTAGCACAGAAGAACGTCACACACTGGCCTGCTTATCACACTGTAGAACGGCCGCATGAAAGGGACAAGAGACGGCACGTAGTGTTGCAGATAGCGCTGTTTTCTTCCTACACGTCACAGCACTCGAGAATACTATCAGGAGAATATCAGTCAAAGAACTGTTTTTTCTTTCAATATTTTGTGATATTAACGACCACTCTCTGGAGTATGTTCAGTATACGCGACATGGCTGAAGTTATATGTACTCCACTTTTCGTTTGTTTGTCACTTTACTGATGACATTTCTTGTTATTTTAATTTTCAACCACCTTGATTGGATTCTGGGCCCTTTCAAAACCGAAGCTGTATGCTAAAAACAAAGCCACATGAGTACATGCTCCATGCAATTCCACTGTTAGGGCTGTTGCCGTATTTTATTGACTGCCGCAGTTATCTTATATACAAAATTACAATTTTGCATGTGGTTTTATATGGGTGTGAAACTTGGGCTCTGACTTTAAGAGGGGAATATAGACTGAGGGTGTTTGAGAACAGGGTGTTGAGGAGAATATTTGGAACGAAGAGAGATGAAGTGACAGGAGGTTAGAGAAAACTTCATAATGAGGAGCTTCGTAACATGTACCCTTCTCCAAGTCTAATTAAAATGATCAAATCAAGGATGATAATGGGCAGGACATGTAGCACAAATTGTGGAGGAGCAATGCATGTAAGATAATGGCGGGAAAGCCGGAAGGAAGGAGACCACTTGGAAGATCAAGACTTAGGTGGGCGGACAATATTAAAATGGGTCTTAGGGAGATAGGATGGTATGGTGTGGATTGGGTTGATCTGACTCAGGATAGGGACCGGTGGAAGGCTCGTGTGAGCACGGTAATGAACCTTCGGGTTCCATAAAATGCTGGAAAGTTCTTGAGTAGCTGCCCAATTGGCAGCTTCTCAAGGAGGGCTGAGCTCCATGAGTGAGTGAGTGAGCCACATTTTTCTTATAAAAGACAAAATAATAATAATGTTTTATTAAAGAGAAAATATCCCGTTTTGCATCTGTATAGCTATCAAGGGGAAGTACCTTTCATATTCGTGTATTCCTATTGACAACTCAAGAAGAACTGCGTACAATCTGTATGTTACGTCAAAGCGGGGAAGTTAATGCCAACTTTAGCCGATAGAGGGTGTCACGTGGTCAGTGCAACGAATCACCACGGCCGTTAATTTCGGTTTTCTAGACCGGATGTTCCGTGCCTATTCACACTTATTATTGCAGGATAAATAACTTATTTACAGTAAACAACTGTGTGCGGTTGTAATCACTTTCGTGTGTTAACTACAGACTTTAATGTGACGAAATTTTCGAATCTTCCTGTTCGCAGCCTTTCCCAGTGTAAACACCGAGCACTTCTCATTGCCTCCGTCTGCATATTTAATGAGCTCTTGCTCAGTGGCTAGCTCATTGCATTTGTGTGCCCACGGTAGTTATAATATTACAACGGACCTGGAGAACTCTTTCATCTCGACTTTTGCCGGAAACCATAAAGTAACACATTTTAATATCCTACGAGATTGAGTTAATTTACTGTGTAAGCACGGAAGAATAGAACTGAATTGCAAATAATATTTACATACTGGCTGTATCGAGCGATGAGTGTATGAATCCATTTACATCTGATTTCTGCTACACCATTTTATATTGTGGCATACAGAACCGTTGCTAAGAGGGGACTCTATAAACAACGACCGTTTCTGGGTAACAGCTTGGTGAACACGTTACCGTAGAAACGGGTGAGAAAGCAACAATGGAGTTACTGTTGCAAACGGAGTGTTTTCTGTGTGGTCCGCACCGCGACTGTTGCTATGTACCGTCGCGGTAAACACGCCTCTACAATAATATTGGATTTATGTTTTCTGCTTGGTCCGTGTCGAGGACAGCTGTGGCTACCCAGTTAGTCGAGAGTTGAGTTCTGCAAGGAAGGCTGAGAAGAGATGGCGCTATATTTCAGTTAACAGTTCAGTTGCGGGTTATTCGCCTAGATCGACGACATGAGCGCGTGAAACTGAAGAATCTGCAATGTTAAAGCCATTGCCAGGAAATTACTGGTGAAGTCACAGCAGGCCGGAGAAGATTTAGCGTGTAGTGATTTGTAAAGTGTGGGAATCGGCGATAGCGCTGTAATTGCTTGTACGTAATTCAGAGGCGTGGATACAACTGGTCAGTAAATCCATTCACCGGTCCAAACCCCGTCTATAATCGCACATAAATCATGACTATACTTGTATACTCCTATTACCTATAACTCAGCTATCTTAGCGTATCAGTCTTTCGATAATAAAATTATGAACAGTGATTTAAAACATTATTATTTTTATTTATGTCTATATTGAATCTGTCTTCTATACCGTTACCTTAGAACACATAAATATTTCATCTTAATTATTAAATCGTACCGGATGTCTATTAAGTTATTCACTGCACCCACGGCAAGCACACTACGTGGCTTATTGTCTGTATGACAAGAAATGAATTTTACATCGTCAGGGGGAAGAATGCATTTCTTAAATCTGGATCCCATATTCTCGACCTTTTTACTCATATGCTCACTAGTCAAGAAGAGTATCTTAGCTGAAATGGCTCTCATCTGCATTACACTGACGCTTAGTAATTTGTTTTCTGTGGCATTCTTGGTGTTTTTATACTTAAAATGTTGTTTATGCCTTTTTCTGCTACCTCGTGCCGTAACTGATCATTCTGTTATTTCGTATGCAAAAGACGACCTGGTTTAGACTTGAAGCATCGCCAGTGTTGTTTTCTTTTCTTTACTTCATAAGATTTTGATGGTTTCTAGAAGGGGTGTACATGGTGAGGGTGAAGGGGTTGCTGGGGTGGAGGTAGAACTGTTTCAGAGAGAAGAAGGAGAAGTTGTGTTCTGTGCTTTGAGTATCCGGACCTTTGAGAATTCGAAAGTGGTTGTTGTGTATGAGGGATTGTAGGGTTGAGCAGGAAAGGGGTGAAATTCTTGTTAGTAGTGGCAGTTTGTATCATGACACACGAGCATCCTGCTTTAGTAGCTCTATCCATCCAGTTTTTCTTTTCTCTTAGTTGCTAGAAGGGGCTTGTTACGGACCATGACATATCCAAATCGCTGGAAAAGGCATTCAAAGATGGTGACACCGTGAATTATACATGAGCCGTTACTAAAATATGGAAATGAGAATCGACACTATGTAAGTAAAAAAGATAGAAGAAAATGGAGAAAGAAGAAATATAGGAAGGCAAGAGATGGGAGGATCAAAGAAACAAGGATAGGGGAAGAACAGAGTAAACGAAAATATGGCCTGAAAAATATTGGCATTTTTTATGATGGTGATGGAGGAGTTGGAAAGGGTTGGTGAAGGAATATTATATATAAAAATTGATATAAACTGAATTACGGTCTCTTTTGAAATACTGAAACACATTTTAATATGATACTTCGGAGTATATTCTGTCCTCAGTGTAATACATTTGTAGATTCGTTCGTCTACATGGTGTCTTGAGAGGTTGGTGCGAAAATGGGAACCCATAATCCGGAAACTTGTTTTCACATGTCAGAAACTGCAAGCGAATCATCCCCTGCTTCTGAACTGACCACATCTCAAGTAGACGGGATTTGAGTACAGTCCCCCTCTCAGCAGAGGATCTAGTGTGACAGTTGCATAACCCGGTTCCTAGCAGTGGTCGTCATTACAAGGACTGGTGAAGCCAGATTTCGTGTTTGCGGGTTTGCCTCCCGATGAAACACTTCGAACGTCTTGCCTAGTATTGCAGTCCGTGTTTCCTAACAAGCAACACACTGTACCAGTTTTGTAATTAAACAAGTATCTGAAAAGTAGACCTTGTCAAATGAGTGCAGTATTTTATGAAATTATGAGTAGACTAAAATACATACTACAAGGAGGAGGAAGAGGAGGAAGAGGGAAGAAAGAAAGAAAGTTGAACAGCAGGTTATTCTCTGGTTTCGCATATCTGCGCTTGTTTCTAAGATGTTTAACCCTTTAAATCACTGTGATCATTGAATGTATCACTTGTTAGATCGTAGGTTTTCGCAGCTCTGAACAACATTGTCATCTGGAATCTGACACCGTGCATTGTCAAAGAATTTTTCCAATATTGTGGACGAATGTACTGCCTCCATCTTCAAGGTGGAAGAGGAGGCCAAGGAGGCAGCTACTGTTTAACTGTTCCGTTTACAGCTTAATTACCGCATTTTATTAGGAAACATAATGTGGTGGTATTATTATGTCCGTGTTTTTATATGGCCCAAAGCTTTCGAACCAGTCGACCGATGTAAGTAATACTTCGAACGCTCATGTCTTTTTTTTTCCCCCTTGGCAATACAGCCCCTGTGGGCCTAGGTCTACCTCCATGAACTTCTCCGTTCACTTCGGTTTTTCTAGATCTTACACATTCGGTAGGACTCCTTGGGCGGGTGATCAGCTCGTCGCAAGGCCTCTACCTGTACACAAACACAGAAGAACGCACACACACTAAACATCCATGCCCTGAGTGGGATTCGAACCCACGATCCCGGTTTCCAAGCGAGCGAAGACAGTACATGCCTTAGACCGCTCGGCTACCGTGACCGGCGCTCATGTCTTTAGGCCTCCCAAAATGGAACCTGAGTACACTACGTTCTGTAATGACATGACCGCCGCTTCATTCTTGGTCCTGCAATGTTGCATGGTTACATCTTCTCGAAAATTATGCACAATTCTTAAGAAGCCTAGTGTGTACGGCGTTACATCCCAGAAGATAGAATTCTTCATAACCACCGCTCTGAAAATCTCAAGTTCTACAGATTTACATAGTGTTTATGTTTCAATTGATGTTTGTTTACAACTTCTGCTTTATTCTGATTTTTCATTATATTCTTATTGGCCTAACCTCTTTCTAGGAGGAAAAAAGGTTTGAGGTCAACACAGTCTGTGTGTGTGTCCGTCTGCCTGTCTTAATATCCCCTATTTCAAGGTGTTAACTAGATAAGTGACTTTAACGAAAAATTTTATGTATATTATGTCACTGGAGGTCACCCCAAAGTCATAACTTAGTTTTCACTATCAGTAATAACAACATGGCTTTCCAATGAACTTGTGAGTCTGGAGCGACGGCCATTTAATTCATGGCCTTGAAAATACGTGCCTCAATACGTTTTCGAATAGGGGCACGCGGTAGTGTAGTTGGTTGAGGCACTATGCTACAAGCTGGAAGGTCGCGGATTCGAATCCCGATTGGGTGAATTTTTTTTAATTTACCTACTCATTCCAGCCGCACTATGGCCCTGGGGTCGACTCAGCCTCTAACAGAAATGAGTACTAGGAATCTTCCTGGGGGGTAAAGGGTGGCGTAAGGGTGTGTAAGGCTGACAACCTTACTGCCATCTATGAGTTGATTTTCTAGAGAAAATGTGGGAACCTCGGCGTTTCACAACCCTATGGGCCTTCATGTCCTGTTACAAGGATAGCTTTACCTTGCGTTTTTACTGTTTTTGTGAAAAGTGAAACTAATATGCAGGCGTGCAAAAACTTGCTTTAGCTTTTAGTTTGATGGCGATAAATGACGAGTAATTTGAACAGGGCAGGTAAAATTTTGTAACGATGTTCAAAAAGATCCCTACAAAATGTGTATGGCGTTTTTGATTAGGTTATTTTAGTTCGTTCCTAATGTCGAGACGATAATGTTGAAGATACGATGATTAATGAACGCTGGGCAGTTGCTAGGATGACAACGTGTGGAATGTTGTTTGTGAGTCAGCCATTACAAACATGTCGCTCATGAGAAAATTTGAGATTGTATTTGCTAGATATAGAAATATTCTTCATTTAAGTAATAAATTTTTCACAAAAATGACAAGAAATACATAACAATAATGGGTCTTTAAAACTCACATCTGCGCAGGAGGAAATTAGTAATTCTGCTCCGAAATTCTTAATTTTTTTGTTTGACAATCTATCTCGAAATCGTTAAATTACGATTACATGATAAATCTCATATGCACAACTTTCTGTCGGTTAGTTCGGGTATATTAAATGAAGAACCTATTGATAACCTTAAAAATGTAGCGTAATATAATAAATAATTTGTAGTTCCTCCTAACCCAAGAACAGGCATACAGACTGAAACATTTTAAGCGAAACATAAGTAACAAATATTTCCCACAAGTTCTTTTTTAGGTTAGTATCTAAGCGGCCTCCGTAGTCTAGGGGTTACGTTCCCACCTCATGACTCAAGTTACGAGGGTTCAAACCCGGCGGAGGTCGTGGAATTTTTAAGGGCGGAAAAATTCAGGGAACAAGTCCTCCGGGAGGGACTTTAAGCCGTGGGTCCCGTGTCGTAGATTTACGGCACACGTAAAAGATCATCATGTCTCTAGGAGACCTCTGAGCAAAATTAGGCAAAAGTTTCCCGCCCAAGTAGTTTCCAATGCCTCCGGTAGATGGGGAAGTTATCGGGTACCAATGCCAGTAGAGGGCCGACCTCGCTGGCAGAAAGGGGAGAATTATCGGTTACCACTGCCAGTAGAGGGCCGACCTCACTGGCAGATAGGGGAGATAGTCGGCACCAGTATCGGTAGGGTATGGCGACAGTAGAAATTAAAGGGGGACGTACAATAGACTATTAGTCGCGGTGCATGGGGAAACCCACCCCCTCTATACTGAATAACTGAATAGGTTAGTATCTAATTTCTTACAAAACGCGTTAGGAAAACCATTCCGTAACTCACCATCGATCTTAGGAAATACAGTCTCGTGATTTTACAAGTGAAATCGGGGCATATAAGACGTCATAGCCTGGGGAAATGGAGAATAATATAACATATCAGTCAGTTATAGTTCTAAACGTTTTCATCAATTTCGATACATCATTGGCTTAAAGCACGAGTATTATATGCCACCTTTGATCAGTGCCGAGTTATGTTGTGCTGTTGAATGTTATTATTGTTCCTTCCTTTATCACGAATATTATAAGTCCAGGAACGCCTGTATACGTTAAATTGGGTCATCTGAAATGTCATTATACTTGCAAACTGCATGTACTTGACATACGGTACTGGCACTTGAAACCATTCTGATAATGTGAGATGAAGCCTTTTCGCAGCTGCAAGCAGCTAATTTTGTTTCTGGCCGATATCGAAATAACTTGTGTATGTCTCCAGGACCATCTGCTTCTCTTCCCATGAACCCCGTGCTCACTGGTTTGATTGCCACTGCAGTGGGACTGCTTGTGGTAGTGTGTGCAGTTGTTGTGGCACTTTATCGACGTCACCAGCACCGTCGTCATCCCCGCCAGGCAAAGCTGAGCCAGTTGGAAGCTGCGTTACATCAGGCAGATGATCCTGTGTCGGCTGATGGCGGTTGCGCAGGCGCGGGACATACCACACCGCTCAACCCAACAGCTTCCTCAACTGGAGGCGTCATCGTTGCTGCCGACCACCGGACCACGGAGGATACGGACCCCGACATTATCCCAAACAAATACGGTATGTTGACAAGAAAAAATGATTGCCATATGAGATGGTTAGTGGAGGTTCTGGCTAGACGTTCCTGCGCACACAAGGGTTCAGAGAAGCAGGAACTTATTGCCCAAACAGAATATTAAAACAGTGTGAAACTGAACGGACATAATGATATTTAATAGGAAATAAAGCAGTATAACATCTTAGTAAATCCATTTAATAACCCGTCTTTATATTGAAGTCTCAACAAAGCACGTGTTATAATTATGCTTTAATGCATTTCCACAAATTTCAGTTTCTTGCCTTCAACAGATCAAGTAGAATTGTTATGTTCTAGAATTAAAAAATATGTAATATATTAATTCGTCCTCTGCATATGCGGAGAAGGATTCATTTTCTGACGGTCAAGATTTTGATTTCGTTTGTTGTTTTTTAGGACCGGGGGGAGTTGACACTGTTTGGTCTGGTAATTCCTTACGTTTCTGAGGAAACAGCTATCGCTGTTTTCAGAAAATGCTAAATTGTGGGTGCCAAATTTTGCCCAAAACTTTCGTAACAACGTACTAGACCGCAGCGTGTCGCAAACCAAAAGTAAACAACACAAGCTAAAGACCAATTATTTTCGGCCTTTGGCCTTCCGCGACTGTTGTGTTCATATAGCAGCACCCGTCTTTTTTAAATATAAACAAAAGACTAGGAGAATGACATGATTTTCGTAAAATTAAATCCTTACATTTTAAGAGGCTGAGCATAAAATATTTACCACTGAAATGAAGGAAGATTTCATTGCACAGAAAATGTGGAATGCTGACAATTTTTTTATGTCTAGCTCTCGGGTACCTGCATTGCACGCTGCAAAGTGTAACAGACTCGAACCTAGATACCTTTGTGAAGTATATTTTTGTATTATATGTATGCCACGTAAATTTCTGTATCCGTTTCTCTTTCATTTTACTAAATTTAGGCCAATATAACACATTCGAATTTTATCTTTCACGCAGAGCGTACAACCGTATCAAACAACATACCTCCTTTTAAAATTGTAGCTTTTCATCAATTACAGCTTCATTTTTAGCATTATTAACCTCAAAACTTCGACATTCCAACCTGAATTATTAGAAAATGTAGTGAATTTTAACTTTTGTTATAAAAAGAGTTCTAATTCATACCAGTGTTAAGGTTCGGACACACAGAGCGCTACGTACGCGACGCACGCTACGTATGCTATGTTCGCTATACGAACAGAAAAATATCTCCCTTTATTACCAATATGACATGCCACACAGACTTCCGTACGCTACTTACGCTGTGTTCCATATGTTAGCTGCGTCGCAGAGTGTACACAGCGTACGTAGCGAACATAGCGAACATAGCGTAGCGCTCTGTGTGGCCGAACCTTTATAGTTAGGCTTCTGCCTATACCCTGACTGTATAACACAGTCTAATGTCCTGTTATGAATGCACACTGCCTTATCATTTTTCTTGTCTCTTGGCTGCTGTTTGCCCAATGACTTCATAAAACACAACAGCTAGAGGCATAAAACGTTGAGAGGGAGCGAAGGGGTGGGTTTGGTGTTTGCTATTGCAGCTGCTTCCTTGGGGTTGCAAAATGGAGCCATGCCGTAACGCAAACTACATACAGTACGACGTTGGTTTCTGTGTAGTTTTATGCTAGCGAATTATGCAGTGCCTACGTTAAAGTACTTCTTTACTCATCTTCTACGTTCCTTTCTGCCTCTTTCACTTGTTCTTTTTCGTTCTTCATTATCTCCCATTGCATCTCTCATTGATTCATGCTTACTCTAGAGTGTACGTCTATGTAAGTTATATAGATAGACCTAGAAAACAATGGGTGGTGCATATGCTCTCCCGCTAATTGTCGTATTTCACATACACTTAGAAAGAGACTTATTCATGCCTGTGGCCATAAACTACGAGAAAGTAGAATGAGATATTGCCGAAGAGAGTAGGAAGAGGCAACGTTGATTTCTTAAAAAAGATCGAAAGGAAATACAATACAATTCCATTTATTTTATCTTGAATCTTTTAGAACATTAGCGTAGCTCTCAAGTTGAAATAGAATTGTAGAGATATCATCATCGTCATCATCATCATCATCATCATCTCTTGACTACAACATCAGGGAAGGTTACGCAAGTGAAATAATATATGGATCTTCCCTTACATTAGAATGACTCTGTACTGGGTGACACGAAAATAAATTACATTTTGCAAAATAGAGAAAAGTAAATGGCTGTATGGATTTGAATTAAGTCTATAAAATTACTGAAGCGTGTGTATCCAAATATTTTCTCAGTACAGTTGATTAGATACGTAGAAAAATATTTTCAATTCTGAATTTTAAAACCAGAAATATCGTTTATAATTCAGTCACATTCTCTTATTATAAAAAAAAATCGATGTTAAGTAGAACCCCATTTCCTTGGACTGTGGCTGAAACCCTTATTTTTCTTTGGGTGATAGCTGATCGGATGTAATCGTGCGATAAAGGGGTTGAAAGCCGTGAAATTTTCAAGGCTTAACAAAGATATTAAGATCCTTCAGGCAGACAAAGACAACTGCATGGTGGTGTTGGATGAAGCCAAATACAAGGTAAAGTTGAGCACTTTGCTAGAGTCCGGGGTTTATGAACCCTTGTTCAGAGAACGTACAGCGAAGATTGAGAGGAAAGTACAGAAACTCTTTTCCAGACACAAAACTGCTCTTCCTGTCGATCTAAAATACAGACTGATTTCATACCACAGCAAACCCCATCTACCGGTCCCTATCCTGAGCCATATCAATACACTTCGTACCACCTCATCCTATCACTCTAAGATCCATCTTAATATTATCCTCCCAACTACGTCTAGGACTTTCCTAACAAAATCCCATATGCATTCTCTTCTCCATGCTCGCTGCATTCCCTACCCATCTCATCCTCCTTGACCTAATCATTCCACGAGTAATTATACTTGGAGAAGAGTACAAGTCATGAAACCCCTCATTATGCAGTTTTCTCCAACCTCCTGTCACTTCATCCCTCTTAGGTCCAAATATTCTTCCCAGTACCCTGTTCTCAGACACCCTCAGTCCGTGCTCCGCCCTTAATATCAGAGACCGATTTATACATCCATACAAATTCACAGGCAAAAGTATAGTTTTATATATTCTAATTTTTACTTTTTTAGACGTCAGACATGAAGACAAAAAGTTATGGACTGAATGGTAACAAGCATTATCCGAATTTAGTCTCCTCTTAATTTCCTCCTGAATCAGGTTTAGATTTCTTATATTTTTTCCTTGGCACTACAGCCCCAGTGTGCCTAGGCCTACCTCCATGAGCTCCGTTCACTTCGGTTTTTCTAGATCTTACACATACGGTAGGACTCCTTGGGCGGGTGATCAGCTCGTCGCAAGGTTCGATTTCTTATAGTCCTTCCCAAATATCTGAACTGTTCCACATTTTCAAAGGACTGTAACTAACTTTATGTTCCTATTTTCTCCTGCATTATAGTGACGAGACAGCAGCATGTACTTGGTTCTCTAGTTGTTTACTTCTAGACCAACCTTCTTACTAGGGTCAATTGGTGGGTCTGTAAATAATAGTAACTATGAAAATTATTTCAATGCGGTACCTGTCATAGCACCGGCGATGTTATTAATTATAGATGTAAGTGCTTAATGATCCTTCCAGTAAATGACATTTATGAAAACATAACTGTGAAAATATTCTTCATAATTTCAGCTATGTGTGGATCCTCTAAATGTTCATACTTTCTGACACAGTGTGCTTAATCCAGTCACCACAGTTTATAATACAAACTGGATCTTAAAGAACCACTGTTTGAGAATGTGGACTGGATTCGTTTGGCTCGGGATAGGGAATAGTGGAGACCTCTGGTGAAAACAATTATGAATCATAAAGAAGAGGAATTAAGTAGTTGAAAGAAAATTAACTTCAGAACAACGACCCTGTTCCATGAGCTGACGTATAGTCAGTGATTTGTTTGAATAAGAGTGAACGAAATTAAGACAAGCGAGAGAGAATAAATATAGCGTTTATAATTTATTAATTCCTCTCTAGGTAGAAATGTTTTGAAATGAATGTGTATAAAACTCACCAGAGAATGTAATAAAATGTAATACAAAACTAAATAATTTCATGTAGGAAGAGATGCATGGCCTTCTCTCTAATAAACATTATCTTTATAAAATGCAATACATAATAATTTCCTTAATCCATGCATATTTTCTCCAAATTTTTCTTCTATCATCTCATTTTATATTATTATTAATTATGTTTACGTCACAATATGAACTTAATCTTTTAAATTATTTTATTTATTATCCATTTAGCTTCTGTTGCTTATCTCTGCTTCACCACTTTCTTGCTCCCCCCCCCCCAAGTATTATGATTGCGTACCTGCACTTCGTGCCACTTCAGTCTCGTCTCCTTTTGGTTCCACCACTCCTACCCTATATCAGAACCACGTCCTTCGAAGCCTGGTATATTGCTCTACCCTGAGGATGAATGCAGCACGTTTCTCCGAAACCTTTATATTCATCTACCAAACCACACGTCGCCACTTACATCTGAACCCTTTAGGTATCGGTAACTGTATAATAAGGTAAACTTGTCGGTGTGCTTAATTAACCACCCCGTGAAGACGAATGGGATAATGGAGGTATAGCTCCACCATTGTTGATGTTTAACTACGTGGAAGTGAGAGGTCAGCTTCACACTACAGCCGCTTTATCTCCGTGGAAAATCCTCCAGTATCCATTGGATAAGACACTCTGAGCCCCAGAGCCGGTCTGGACGGCGTGCAGTACAGAAAGATCCTTTGCCCCTGCGAGAAATTGAACCCTGGCCGTCCAGGTCGCTGTACCGACTGTGCTATCTTGTGTCTTAACTGTACAGTGAAGTGTCATTCACTGCTAATTTCCAATAAGAAATTTACTAGAGACATGCAAGAGGAGTGTCATGCTATTAGCTGCAGTAGCTGCATTAAGAAATTCTGCACTCGAACCTGGTGCCATATATTGCAGTAATATTGTCTATATGCCTCTGCTTTTAATACCATCTAGTTCTATAACCTAGCGCCTTCTGGAAGTTTGCATCCTAATATCTCCGGAGCAGTACAGACTGCGGCAGTAATGATAGCAATTGTGATAATGGCAAAGGAAACGAAGGGGGGTGAAGTGGAATTGTAGTAACCAAGTTTTCAAAACAAAGGAAGGAAGGAGCTCTAGCCCTTCCGTGTATATGCGCTCTAGAATTTACAGTAAGATTGAACTCGCTCATGAGTCCATCTGTCTCTGATAATATCATATCGAGACTAGAGAAATGACCAAGTAAATGCTGAAAATTCCTTCTTGAGGATCAAGTAGGCGATCAGCTGGTAGGAAAGCTTCACGTCCTATATAAAAGTACAAGATTTGTGTTCCTAAAAGCGCGCTACTTTACTCTGTCCTGAGCCACAAAAATCCATGTGGTGCATGAGGCTGCCATGACAATGATAATGAATATTACTGTCTTATGGCATATGAAACCACGTGATGTCAAGCCTCTTTACCAAACTGTATGATGTCGACTTCTAGAAGTATATGTTCCCATCAATCCAGGCCACAACCTTTCACCATGTCTCTTTAATTTCCACTTTAATATTACTCTATTGCTTACGCCTATGTCTGCGTTTTGTAGAAATTTTTTCATATATCTCACGCGTACTATGCACTCCACCAATCGTCCCTTTGCTTTGATATACTTAATTGCGTGTGATGGGTTGTGAAAATTATGAAGCTCTTGATTATGCATTTTTTTCTAGTTTTCAATTACGTTCTCTTTCTTATCAGCGTCTATCTTTTGAGGCTACATAGTATTATAATTTAATGATTGTTTAAATAAACCGAGAAGAAATAAACGTGAATAATTAAATCCCCTCTCTCAAAGCTCCAATCCTGCATTCATGAGCGAAAGCTACGTAAAAACAACATGTACATTTATGCTTATGCATATTTCAATCCTTAACACTTTTAACTCAGAGGCAGTAAAACAGGCACTCCTAAATGTACTGTATGTTCTCATAACTGCTTCGTAAATACGAGAAAAATAGGTCCTATCTATTTCTGCTAAACCAATTCATGTGGAAAGCAATGGGAGAATGTACAAAAACGTAGAACAGATACATTCAACTTTAAAGCAGTTGAAACTGAGAGAAAAATTTTGAATAGGATGTTTGCCAACAGTTGAGACGTTGAGCTTTCCCACAGTTTAATTTCAATATCATTCGTACGCATTCTTCTTCTTCTTCTTTTCTTTAAGAAGCACTACAGTCCCAGTGGGCCTAGGCCTACCTCCATGAACTTCTCCGTTCACTTCGGTTTTTCTAGATCTTACACATTCGGTAGGACTCCTTGGGCGGGTGATCAGCTCGTCGCAAGGCCTCTACCTGTACACAAACACAGAAAAACGCGCACACACAAACTAAACATCCATGCCCTGAGTGGGATTCGAACCCACGATCCCGGTTTCCAAGCGAGTAAAGACAGTTCGTACGCATTAGCACAACATTATTTCCGATGATTAGCAAAATTAAATATGCAGTTTAATGCGCTGAGGTGAGAGCATGATTATACAAGGTAGACTGAAAGACAGGCTCCTGTTTGGAGGTGCTTATCAAGACCTAGCCTAAAAGCCAAGAAAAATTATTCGGTGTACTGGCATCCAGTCCAGTTGTGTGTCTGTGTGTGAGTGCGCTCGCACTCAACAAATTCACGCGTTTGCTAGCCCCTGACAAGAGAGAGATCAAGGTTGGTTAGAGGAAATATCCTCGAATTTATTCGTTATTAAACATAGTTTCTTTTTCCGTCGATAGATTTCCTATTTCTCCACAGATACCGTACAGAAAATTTCCGAAGTAAATTGAAGCTTATGTACATATTATATGATATAAATATTATATATATAATACGTTTTGTGGAGGTGGTAGGATGGGGCGAAGTAATTAAAGAATCGCAGGTAGGGGCGGTTTCTCCTGTGAAGAAATGTCTGGCTAGTAGAATTTTGGCCTAGGTGATCTGTGCCAATAATTCTTGACACACACACACACACACACATACACACGCATGCATATGTATGTATGTATGTATAAAATTGTATATGTATATATAGTTTCACCTGAAATGCGTAATGTGTATCAGTAATTAATTGAATGATCCCAAACGTTCATTATCATGTGCACAAAAGTCAAACATTTGTTCCTTATCCTGACGTCATTGAGTCAAATACACTTCCTTATACACTATACCTTCAAATTGCATTATTATTTCATATCAGCAGGAGGCTCTTCCAAGCTACCACTTTCGTTGAAGTTTCCGGACAAAACAAATTAAATTTTTAATCTCACCCATGCCTGTCACATCTCCCGTTAACACCATACTTAATTTTATGGTCTGGACTAATAGCCTAAACATGAACAAGATATTTGTAGGCAATTACACGGTCAATTTTTTAAATTCCATGCAGCACTCTCACTGCTTGGGTCAATATGAGAAGATAAGTATGGATAGAAACATGGCCATCTTCAGAAAAATGTTCACTTATTGAAACTGTCGCACTGTGCTAGATCATAAGTTTCGTTCATACAACAGATCAAGTAGAATTGTTATGTTCTAAAATTAAAAAATATATATAAATTCGTGCTACCGCATGTCGTTGTTCTCACTAAAATGTGTTTCTTCAAGAACGAAACTCTCGCATCATTTTCCTTTCGCTGCTGCCATGTTTGTGCCCCCTTCGTATGTATGTTCTCACTAGTTGGGCGTAAGTCCCTCGTATTTTATGTTAATTCCTTAAGAACACATTTGTAAATTTTCTGTGCTTCGAAGTGAAGTAACTACATCTTTCCTCTTGTGTGAAGTTTATTTTTCTGTCGTGATTTTGGAAACACTCAATGTTCATACTTTGCTCTCATGAATTTCAAAGACTAGGGGCACTTACGTAATAGAACTTGAGATTTAATCTTTCGTTTTATAGAAAGGCGTCCCCTGAAGGGCTTCATGAAGATGTATAAGACTCCCCCACAACGGCGTCGGAAAAAGAATGACACAGAAGACGAAGAGGGAATTCTAAGGGAAGAGCTCAACCACCGCCATCTTGCCAAAGATATTCACAACAACCAAGTAAACAGTGTAAGTATTGGATGCCCCTTTCACTTCTGTGCTGCTTCGAGATAGTTTCTCTGAGACTGCGCCTTGTTTGCTTTTAGTACTGAACAAACACAAAATTCATACGCAACCGTGAATATGTGTCGGACAGATATTTGTGACAATTTATATACAAATTCTTTCACGTCATTTATTGTGCAATATAAGAGATTATTATTATTTAAATTAATTTTTCTTTATAGATAACAGAACTTGCGCCTAGGAATTCATAGAGGTTATTTGTTCCTATACTGCCGGTCACGGTAGCCGAGCGGTCTAAGGCATGTACTGTCTTCGCTCGCTTGGAAACCGGGATCGTGGGTTCGAATCCCACTCAGGGCATGGGTGTTTAGTTTGTGTGTATGCGTTTTTCTGTGTTTGTGTACAGGTAGAGGCCTTGCGACGGGCTGATCACCCGCCCAAGGAGTCCTACCGAATGTGTAAGATCTACAAAAACCGAAGTGAACGGAGTTCATGGAGGTAGGCCTAGGCCCAATGGGGCTGTAGTGCCAAGGAAAAAAAATGTTCCTATACATCTCATTAGAAATTATTTCAATATTCTGAAATACAGCGCTATAGTAATATTAGTCAATTACGGCATACGGTTCTAAGGCCCTCTTAACATTTTGTGATTCCCCTTGACTTACCTGTAACATTATGTGATTGCCTAGAATAGGCCACAACCCTTTCTTTGACAGTCATTTCAATTGATGACGTTAATTTAACGTCTGGAAGGAACCTTGTTCGAGCCACCAGTGTGAATCACCTAAATGTAGGAACAGTAACCGAAAACATAGTCAAGACCGCCATTTTCAAAATTATTACATGCCTACTACTCCCGAATGTCTTCCTGTTTGTGTAATTTCTTCAGTTAACACAGTACTGGTGGATATCCTGCGAACCAATCTCCTACCGTCATAGTAGTTGGGCTGCATATAAATTTACAGTGTAACTATTGGTTTTGCATAAATTCTTCAGTGTTTTATTATGCAACTTTGTTACTACACAAATCAAAGAGCATGTGTCATTGTGAGTTATTTCTGACACGTTTATATCTCAGCCACTTAATTTAAAGTAGAAATTCGGATCCATGTAGCTATGAGGCGCACGTAGCTAACTTGGATTCAACGTAAACCTGACATTGATTTATTTAGTAAATTGTGTGGACTCTGTTGTGTTCATACTGTGTGCAGATATAAATCGTTGCCTGTATTGGCCCTTTTTAGGTATGCAATCTGCGTGCGCACAAGGGCGTAACGGCGTCCAGCCCTCTAAGCGCAGGTCCCGAGACGCTGACGTCGTCGGCGCCTCTGATGCACAAACTCGGACCGGAAGTCGTGACCGCATCTCACAGGATGCAAGAGAGCTGTATATAGAGACATTGTCCTCCCCTGCCAGACATTTATATTGTAAATAATAAAAAACAAATAAAAATAACAATATGCATGAGAAAACTGTTATATTAGAATTCTTACACCAGACCTGAATTATTTCCTATTCGTATATGATATGGGATCATATATTTATGCTGTAGTCTTCGATTTAAATTAATAGAACGAATTGTTTTCTAAGATAAGAGAATAAAAGCTAAAAAAAAAAAAGCTACCCCTGTAACAGGCAATGAAGGCCCATAGGGTTGTGAGATGTTGATGTTCCCACATTTTCTCCAGACAATCGACTCACAGATGGCGGCGAGGTTGTCAGTCTTACACGCCGGCCGCCCTTTATCCCCGACGAAGATTCCTGGTATTCATTTCTGTTAGAGGCTGAGTCGATCCCAGGGCCATAGTGCGGCTGGAAAGATTGGGTTAATTGAAAAATCCAATGGCCTTATCGGGAATAAAATCCGCGACCTTCCGGCTTGTAGCATAGTGCCTCAACCAACTATGCTACCGCGTGCCCCCCAAAGATAAGAGAATAAGAATAGAATTTTCAGATTCAAGAACTGCCTTCTTCATGTAATTCAGTCTCTCCCGACTTTGTCATGTAAATGTACGTACTTTGTACCCTGCCCATTGTATCAGCTAACATGTACACAGCAATAGAGTAGCCCTATGTTAAATGCAGTTGATATTTCTTTGTGTAGACAGACCTGTGCATAACCCTGTCGGTATGGTAACAGGTTCCGACCTTCGGAAGGAATCTATTTATGTTAAACAGTTCGTATTATCGATAACTTTCACCATATACGCATGGAATTTTATTTGGAAGGCTTCACTACGTGTATGAATTGCCTTGAAAACCTCCATACGGGGGAGTTTTCAGTTCTGAAGGCAATTAACATGTAGGAAATCAGCAAATATAAGTAATGGAAATAGTTATTTATTAGCAACCGTCCTCCTTGGTTCGGCTTTCGGTCATGCCAACGAAACTGCCCTCATGTTGACCCATCTATGTGGGCATGATTCTTGTATAGGTTAAACAAGTTCACGCTGTGGGCCCATGCAGAGTGACGCGATGAGTTTATAACAGGCCTGCTGGCCTGATAATTATAAAGTTACTTAATTATAGACCTACGACATAAATAAGAATAACATATGTCAAATATATGAGTATTAAAGAATTCTGTAGCCACCGCATGTTAGCATTTTAACACCCTAATAAACTTAGCCCTTGATGAGACCTTCCGGCTTGTAGCATAGTGCCTCAACCAACTATATGACGACGACGACGACGAGGATGATGATGATGATGATGGCCGTGCAGTTCCATTTAATATATCAGAGCACATAATATAACTCCATTGGACTTTTCGTTGCTGACGCTTTTGTGAATGACGTCATCTGTGTACACCGTTTTCAAGCAGTACTGATTCTCCGAACAATGAGATTATGTGAACTCTGCCTCAGTTTTAACTAATTCAATTTTTTGGATCTCATTTCTAGTCATGGGAGTTTGTAGAAATAAGACCAAAAATAGTTCATACAAAAAATTTATTGAAATTGTCACTGAACCATAAATTATTCCACAGAAACATATTAAGTTGTCCGATTATATTCTATAGAGTGCAGATGGTTTCTATGTAGTGCTCTGCATCAGAGCTGGGTTAATTTAGAGTGCATTTTTAAAATGTTTGAATTGCATAATTGAAGCTCGTTGAAAGCAATGTAATGAAACCACTCTATGCTGTTCAGGTGTCAACACAAAAGGAATAACCTTTCCAAAATTACGGCAACAACGTACTCCATTCAATTTACGTGAATAATTTGTTACTGCCATTTAAACTATATTGTTGAAGTGTGTTTGTGCCTCCCTCTTTGGTAAAATTTATAGTAGTATTGCCGAATTGTGTACCGCAATACACTATTGGTTAACCGAAATATATTTTGTCGGATGCAGTAAAGTGTCAGAATAAATTCAGAGTCATTCAGCGCTGTCTTTTAAACCCGTATTTTTGAATACGCAATATTTATATATTTAAAATTATCACAGTAACTTAATTGTACACGAAATCTTAATATTCGCCTGTAATTTTGGAATTATAATTTGTTCGTCTGTAAGTCTAAGTAAGAGTAGAGAGACTGACAGAATATCCAATGGTAACCTTGTCATTACAACAAATCAGCGGTCAGTACATGTTACATATTAACCTAACTCCGTGGTTTGAGTCCTCAAACGAACTTTACCGACCGAACTACCGCCGCTTGTCGGTGAAGTTAGTGCGAAATTTAGTGGATAGAAAGTGTCGTGTGGTCAGCCCAACGAATATCCACGGCCGTTAATTTCGGTTTTCTAGACCGGAACACACATAAATTAAAATTTAGTTTCATGTTTATTAGATCATTAGCTTAAAGATAGTTCCTTAGTTTTTACGGAAGTATATTTTGTCACCTACCACAGCCATCTAGTATCGGACGGTGGAAACAGAAGTGGACTACAATATTCGCAGGACATCCTGTCAGGAGGACCTTCTACAAAACTTGTGTCAACATTAAACATACGCAAACGCCAATGAGATGAGCCTCTGTAAGATAACAAAGAACATATCCACTCTTTATATCAGCTATGGATATTACAAATTGTTGAAGAAAACTACAGTCAAAGTGAGTGTATATGTCATAATTTCCTTCCTTCCCCTCGGCGCTACAGATCAGGGTGAGCTTTGACCTCCTGAACAATCTACCTTCTCTGTTCCGAGGCTAATCGTCTGGTTCCTGAAGAATTTAGTTTTTACAGTGTGATCTAGCCTCACGCCCAACCCCCAAACTGGAGGATTAGGGTATCCCTCTTCGTTTGGCTCCTACCCCTTGACCTGTCCGGCATGGGTGATCCTACCTGTAAATTTTTTTAATTCGCTTAGTGGGCGGGGGGTTGAGTCCAACTGGGTCCACTCGGCACGGCGGTCACTGATTGATTTATTGTAGCCTGCTCCGGGTGATTATGATGATGGAGAAATTGGTGGAATGAAGATTGGCAGGGGAAACCGAAGTACTCGGAGAAAAACTGCCCCAGCGCCACTTTGTTCACCACAAATCCCACTTAACCAGACCCGGGATCGAACCCGGGCCGCCGCGGTGGGAAGCCAACGACTAACCGCTTGAACTATGGCGCGGCCTTGATCCTACCAGTAGCTATGCTACCGTCGGCATAGCTCTCAGGGTCTCAGGAGCACTCAAACCCCACCATTATGATAAGGTAGAGACACCATCTCTGGGGGTATGTCATAACTCCTGAGCGAAATATCCTGTAAAATTATAACATAAAAGCTTTCTGTCAACTCTTAAGTTTATTGGTGTCGTAAATTCACCGTATGCTCCTATACTCAAGCGCCATGTGCTAGGAAGTATAGCTTTACTATGTAGCTACTTTTACGTAGAAACAACGTAGCATTATTTTGCTATCCAAACTGCGTATCTTTAACAGTACATGATACAAAATGATGATTTTTGGACTGTTGTTTCTTTTTAAATATAATTTCATAGCTTCGCTTCGTCGCCATATTGAATACTTATAAGCTGCAATATGTAATTCCTACCATACAAAACTACACGCATCAACACGCTTTCGTTTATTGACGTAGACTCAAAAGTATTTTATCGTGACCATATTCCTATTTCCAGTTTATACGAAACTGGCATAACAATAAATAAATACAGTTCTTCTGCCATCNTATTTTATCGTGACCATATTCCTATTTCCAGTTTATACGAAACTGGAATAATAATAAATAAATACAGTTCTTCTTCTTCCATGACGGATTAAGCCATTTGGCCTGATTAAATTCAGAATTAATTAATTCTGAAATTCGAATGTTATAGACAGTCGGCAGAACGCTTTGGACGGGTGATCAGCTTGTTGCTACCTACAAACAGGACGACACAAACATATAATAAATGCAGAGAGATATTTATGCCTCGAGTGGGATTCGAATCTACGATCCCAGTGTGTGAGTGGGCGAAAACATTTTGTGCCTTAGACCGCGCGCCCACTCTGATCGGCAATAAATAATTTAGAACTCTTACAAGAACCTTTCATGTTCTTCATTCCAAATTATCACTTCATCGGACAGACCGCTTCCCGGGAAGAAAAGGCACCCTCCATAACTGTGTAGACACGTGCGATACGTACACGAACCCTGTTCATAAGAGACAACCCCATCCTCTCGTCAGAGAATATGATTCATAATGACTATGGCCGCAAGGTTGCAAAAGAATCCCTGGCCGTGGTCTTCAAGGGGTTGGCACCAGCACGAATTAATTGGCGTTAAACCGCCGGTCGTAAAGTAACTCTGACTGGACTCTGACTCTGACTAAGCAACGTCTAGATGAGTTATGAGATGGGCGCAAGCCAGCGAGGACCGGAGGCGTCGAACACGGAAGCTGAGTTTTTTTGTTTTGTTTTTTTTTTCGTAGGGAACCGTTACCAGGCGACAACCGGTGAAGACACACCAGGCTGAGAAGTCTTGGTGCATACTGTAGTGATTTAAGTGCGTAGATCCGTGAAGCTGATGTAGGTAGTAAATTACAGTTACGTGTTTCAAGAATTCAATAAATCCGATTACCAAATCGAAACCTCGTCCACAATTACTGAAACAAATGACAGTACTATATAGCGTCAAATAATTAGATGATACTGAACAGTGAATTCGAAGGAAAGTAGAAAAATTGGCGTTGGTTTAATTTCAAGGTACTATGTCGGCATTTTTTTGAAGGTACTGAGGAAAATCACAAAAATTATAGATCAAGATTATGGCAGACCTGGTTGAATTTCGTCCTGAGTACCTTCTGAACGTATGTCAGAAGGGTTACCAGTAAATCGTAAATACATGGTCAAAATGAATTACTGAATGTTGAAAAATATCGTCTTCCGGATTACATAGTCCTGCAAAAGTTTACGGACGTTTTGGACGAGTGCGCTGACCCCATCTTCAGCACTAAAGATGTACTGAGTAAGTAATTGGTAACAAAGAAGTAACTCGTCGTACAGGTTTGCAAATCAGCCTTCTTGT